CAGTTCTGCAGCAAAGTAACTAATCGCCTGCACACAGATGGTGGCACTGAAGGCAAGCACAAATAATCGATCTATTACTGTTTTGGAGAGCTTCGCAAGTGCTGTTTGTGAATATAGGCTTCCTTCCCGCGTACGAGATGATAGAGGTGGAGAGAATAAGGATGTATCCATTTTTATGATCCTGTGCAGAGATGCCAATTGCGGTTCATTCATTTGGGGCTTGTAAGTGAAATTTATTTCTGAAGCAGCATAGAACTTGGCAATTGATGTTATTACAAGCTCGACACACAACACTCGCATTCAGCACATGTGGGTGGATGTCGGTACCCAGTTCGTGCAGCAATGGAGGGCTTTTTTCACCCATTTCGAATGTATACATTTATTGAATGTTGGTGACCCGAACCACTTGTGGTTGCTCCAGCTCCTCTTTCTGGATAGGATACAGGCAGACTGTGATAGCTTCAGGCAGCAGTGAAACGCACATCCCATGTCTGGCCTTCCAGGAAATAGGAGCCCAAATGTTCATCCTGTGTTCTGTCCATTTTACCAGCATTTTTGTCTAATTAGTGTTTTAGGATATGTGACTAATAGGGTAGATGAAAGATGGTATTTATATTGATGACATGGCAGGTGTGCACCCCGACATTCTAGCAGAGCACTATGGCATACATGGAGAAGCTATTAGACGTGCTCTAGGACAAACGGGTGCAGGACATTCTGCTGACGAAGATAATGAGGGCGATGCTGGAGGTGAAGAGGAGGGTAAAGGCCAACCTGGTGAAGACAACCTCGAAGAGATAGAGGTTCCTGCCAGCACCAATCCTTTTAGTGGCGGTGATGAGATAACCTTCTGTGCAGCACTTAAAATGGCTCACCAAGACTGCATCATACCCTCTAACTATGGCTTGCTTTCTGAAGAGTGGGAGAATGGTGAGTATCTCTCTATAGAGATGCTTCCTGTAGAAAAACATGGCCGAGAAATGGCCATCTCTTTGCCAGGTAGCATTTGGCTACCTCACCCTTTGGTGCATGTTTGATTAATCATGTGGCAGTAACTACTACGGTGTGCGACGTATTACTTACTAGTAACTGAGCTAGCAACCGCGTAGGGCCTGTAGAGCCTCTCCGGCACCTCTCGGCATGCTATATATGGTGTTTCCATCAACTGGGATTGAAATATAGACCACATTTGGGAGACATGCCATAACATACCGCTTTGGGCGCTTGTTTTTGTTTTATGACATGGGAAGGTGGAGAACATATGTTTGAACATATTTGCTATACTAAACATATGTCAGAAACCAATATTGAGCCCGCTATTCACAAAATACTCGCCAAGAGTCGAGTTTTTGCGGATGTAGCGCGGACTTAAGCCCCATCAGCTCCATCAAGTGCCACCAAGCTGCTACCCGGCTATCTGGCTCCCTACATCAATTTCG